ACCCTCATCTGCAATGGCATCATCGACTGCTTCACCCATCATTTCTTCTTTCATATCCATAATTTCTGACTGCCTTTCAAATTCCATCATTATTTTCTGGATTTGGGGCAAATTTAGTTGCCGATTCATGTTTTGCATTGCTCGCGTTACCCCTTTCATTGCTTGTGCCATTGCATCTTGACTTTTCAGAGTTTGCACCTACAAATTATCCATCCTTAACATCGATGATAGAATCCATTTAAGATGTTTAAAGGCAATTACGATCAGCAGTATCCACATGCAGTTTGATTAAAAATGGTTTAATTTGAAATGCTACATCTCACTTTGCATTTCGGATGCCACATTAAAAACCATCCTAAGTTTCGAAAGACAAAAATCTTAGAATGGTTTTATATCTTATATAACAGCTATAGGTAAGATAATTAAGACGAAAACAGTCGTTAGAAATAAGGGAATAAATAGCAATAAAAGTTAAACTGATAAGTTGCAATGGAACAGATACCTTTAATGAAACTGCCTGTATGTTAGCTTTCATCATGATGAATTTTTTGATATGTCGACGAGTTCGGACAAGATCTTTTGCCATAACTTTCACTGAATCCTGAAAAATACACGAAATTTTTAACAAAGACTAAAAAACTTTTTTAAAAAAAAGTACGAAGAACGGATATAGGAAGAAATTAGCCATTAAAACCATACTCAAAAAATTATTCCTCATTACCCAATCTTTTCACGTCATTTAGTATAACAATTACTACCTTTGACTAACTCTGAACTTCGAACGAATTTCAAGAGCTTTGAACTCCCTTGATAATTGACAAATACTGGAAGTATATGATGGGAAATTTAAACGTATCCCTTTTTACCATTTGATTCATTTTGGCCATTTTCTTAATATCAACGATAATCTTCTTCTCCTGTATTTCGAGACGTGACCGTTCCCGGTCCAATTCACGCATAGCCTTATTCAACGCTCTTTGATTTTGCCGCAACATTTCGGTGGGTGTCTTCTTTCGCCCAAACAAAAAATCCATCTTGCTACCTGAAATATTGAATTTGAAATCAAGAACTGAAAAATTATAAAAACTATATAAAGTGGCCTCGTCCGGTGAAATGCGTCTTTTTTGTATTGGCATCACTTATTTGCACACTCAAACAGCACAAACATATTGCTAACCATTAAAGCATTCCATTTAATTTACTTATACCTTGGGTAAGGTATTATTGATGGTAAATATTTAACAGGCCAAACCCTTCGGTCATTTAATATGTAGCATATTCCTCATATATAACTTCCCTGAAAGATATTCACCAAGGAAAACTTCAGGAATGTTCGTAAATCGTCCCAAAAAAAAAGATGCGAGTTTCAAAGGTACAATAATTTGAAAATTTAACAACTGAAAGTCAAAAAAGAAGCTGATTCATAGAAACAATGAATCATAGTCAAATTCCTTGTTGTTGTAAATTCAGTGAAATGTACAATTTTCATGGGATATTTAACAGAGACAGATGGCATTTCTTGAAATAATTTTTAGAAATTCTCAGAAATTTGCAAAAAAACCTTAAAATCATCGCTCTCAACAATCGTATCACACCGCTGCAAATGAACGAAAACTTAAAAAAAAGCGCTTCGGGCGGAAAGCAACAAAGTAAAAGCATGCAAGCCTGACGCGCTATGCAAATTTCCACCTCACTGCCTGAAATTTGAATATTTTAAAATTTAATTTCGTCATGGAATAAATTAAACTGAAATTGATGGAGTGATTTATTGCTAACATTTGACTGCGAAGTCTATCGTATGGCATCATCAAAGTATGGCAAGCATTATAGGAGCAATTGTATTATCATCAAAAATCCGAAGGTTTTATAAAAATTACGAAACTTTCCTAATCCGGAAATCTTTGTATGTCAACATGCGGAAATAAATTGTCACGAAAATTTAAGACATTGAAAGATTTGCGTGAATTTGTGACAAGAAGCAATGGCATTATTTCTTTTGTTATCTAACAGAAAGCAAAAAAAAATCCAAAAAAATTTCCGTTTTTTTCCTTTTCAGGTAATTCAGGTAACTGAGCAAAATGACAAACGAATCCTGAAATTAGATGAAACTGAATTTGTAATTAATGATAAACAAATGATTGCAACGTCTAATTTTCTCAAACGAATGCTTATTGATGGTATTCATTTTTATCGATTTTTTTTTTTTAAACTTGAAAATTGGTTTGTATTGAATATCAAACTATGGGAAAAAAAAGGCTTACTCTTTTAAATTTCAATTTTAGAAGTTTAAATTAAAACTTGCCAAATTTGTTTAATATTTGAGTATTGTTATAAAAATTTTAGATGATATGAAATGAATAAATTATAAAGAAGACTAAAGTTAGAGAATTAAAATTAGTTTCACTTAAAAAAAGAACATTCAAAACTTCTTCTACTCTTTTATCTAAACAAAATTTAACATGAAATCTCATCGTTATCACATAAATTGCTTCGATTAGACGATCCATTTTTTTTTTTTTGATAAAATTGTTAAAATTTTTATTGGTTCCTAAAGTTGTAATTGAAATTTAATTAAATTTCATCATGCATTTGTCATTTCAAAAAAAAAAATGTCTTTTAGAGAGGAAAAAAGTGATTGTACTTGATGGATTAAAGAAAAAACAGCCATGCTTTGATACGATTGGTTTAGAAATTGCAATATCATTTGCAATTGGATATGCTGAAATACCATTGAATCAAGTAAATTTTCAAAAAAAATTTTTTTTTTTGAAGTAATTGCAAAAATTCGAAAAATTGAAATTTTACACTTTTAATTTTTAAATTTAGCTCAAATTTTAACTTTTAAATTTAAAAATTTCAATATGTTTTTTAATGCTTTTTTTTATTTTAAAGATTATCAGTGCATTGGCAGCAGCAAATGCGCTTGAAATGTGGGATATGCGCCAAGCAATTATTAAAGAACTTTGCATATTAGCAGCTAAACCAGAAAGCGCCCCATTTGCTATTAATGTTGCTGTATGTAATTTGGAAAAAAATATGGCAAAATATGTCATAAAGGTTTATTTTAAATATTATTATTTTTAAATTAATAAATGAAACTTAGCTTTTATCAGTTATCAATTTAAAATTTAAATTAACCAAATTCATGTAACATTACAGCATTCTTTGGATAAATTTAATGAAATAATCAATCAAACGAGCTTCCGTTTTATCAGTAATTCAAGTTTCGAATTCTTCATTACTCTCTTTATTTCTAAGGTTTGCCTTCATTGGTTGAAATTATAAAATTTCATGCAATTGTAATTTCATCCAGTAATAAATTATATGTTATGATATTCGTATTGATATTATTGAGTTCATTGGATTTAAAAAAAAATGATCGTTTAAATGAACGAACTTAATCGATCTCTTCGGTATAGCATAATCTTTAAGCTAAACATGATAATACTGTACCAGCATTATGATAAGAGTCATTATCTTTACCAGTTAAATAATATAGCATAATCTTTAAGCTAAACATGATAATACTGTGCCAGTATTATGATAAGAGCTCACTATCTTTACCAATTAAGTAATTTGATTTTATTTTTAAATTAATCTAATTGTTAGATAATTGATAGTTTGATATGGATTACCGTAGCATATATTCATGATTATAAAGTAAGTTTCGATTATAAAATTTTTAGCATTCTGCTACAATCGAAAAGCATGAAAAGCAAGCAATAGCCAAATTAGCAATACATGCAATGCAAGTTTGGTGCGATAATGATAATCAACGTTACACGGTTAATTAATTAATCATTTTGTTCATTGAAGAAGATGGGATAACTGAACAAAAAAAAGAAAAAAAAACAGAATCAGATGAGAGAATTCGAGAAAGATAAAATCTCAAAATAACAAATCAATAATAATTTCTTATTTGATTAAAAAATCTTTTCAAGTTTGCTAAGAATATAATCAATAAATTGCGACCATTTTGTAACATTGATATTATCAATCAAATCGACAAATTAATTGCGGAAAATTCAATAATTCATTCGTTTCGGTTATCTTTTACTCTTTTCGTTTTTAGTTTATGCAAAGTTTTATTAATAAATTTGAAATAATAATTTGAAATTTAAATTAAAAATTTTAAAACTATAAATCGATAACTGTCAATAGTTATTAAATTAACTGTCGATTGATTAAAAAAAAAAAATTAACCTTTTTTTTTTATTTTCCTCTCTAGAGATAAGATGGAAATGGCTAATGATATTAAAGCCCAACAAAATGAGCCTAAAATGGAAATGGCTAATGATATCAAAGGCGAACAAAATGAGCCTAAAATAACAAGCATAATTACCGATAATTCAATTACTAATTCGAATGATTCATTGAAATTTGGTAAATCCCATAAGTATTTCTATTCAAAAAAAATATCTCAACAATTTTATTGACTACCCAAAAAAAAAAAAAAACCGTTTATCCTTAATAAAAAATCACAGGTAATATACCATAATACATTTACAGAAACATTCCGTCAAATTGAGCTTCCAGCAGTTAAACCGGATTCCGATGGAATTTGTCATTATTCAATCATTGTAATGTTTTCCGTCTTTTTTTTCTTTTTTTTTTATTCTGTTCGGAGTAATATTTTATGCAATTTTATACTTTTACTTATTCTAAGCCTAATTAATTAATTATTATTGTAGGTGGAATTTGAAGCACCAAAAGAATTACTTTTTTCAAATAAGCCAAAACATATTGGCTTACAACTTGAAGCAATCCTGGAATGTTGAAATTAATAAAAAATATCATTTGCTAAAAATTATTCGAATTTATGATTATCCAAAAGAAAAAAAAAGAAGTGAAATTAGCAGACTAACATTTTTGGCTATTTATTGCATATATTATCAAGTAGATAATAAACTAATTAAAATGGGATAAAATTTGCATATTTGTATAAGCTTACCATTTATTCTGATAACACCTTTTATCAGCTTATCAGAAATAAACTTTACTATCTTGAATGGAAGAACTAAAAACATTGTATTCTTTGTTTCTATAATTAAATCAAACTTTCTACTTTATTCATTAATTTAATTAACATTAATTATTAGCATTAGTAATTGTATAATAGATTACATCAAAAATTTCTGAATACAATAACGCCTGAATTTAATGCTTATTGCTTATATATCACAATAAATTGTCAATGTTATGCTTAACGATAAAATTTATTTTAATAATTTTTTAAAGCAATTCATATCATGAAGGAAGTTTTAAACTTTTTCTTTTTTTTTTTTTTTTTAAAAAATTACAAATGTGTCTTAATACGATGTGCATCTAATTGTTCCGCAATATAACCAGATATCGTATCAATTTCTCGTTTATTCCAATTCTTCACACATTGTTTCAGACATTTTGGCCAAGGTAATGGCCATTCTATCTCATTTTCTAAACGTCCTGATGGTACATTCACTTCCAATTCGTACATTGTCCAAAATAATAACAAACGACGATAGGCACGTGTTCGAATACGTACATGATGTGGTAGTAAAATGAATGAATGATAAAGACTAAAATAAGAAATAATTAAAAAAAAAAAAAATGGAATAAAAAAAGTAAAAAATTAAATAAATAAAATAAAATGGAATAAAAAAATAAAAATAAAAAATTTTTTGGAATAAAAAAATTTCACATTTCAAAATTTGATATTTTCTTTAATAAATACTAAGACTATATTTATACATAATAAAAGTTTAAATTTAATTTAGGTTATGTAAGCAAATAAAAATGATATTTGCACAAGGTTAATTGAATGTCAAATTTAACTACTAAAAATTTCAATCTAAATTTAAAAAATAAAACAGAAATACTTCTTTATGTCTTTTTTTTTTGAATTTCAATGTAAATTTACTTTAATTTGAATTTGAATTTTTTTCTGGATTTTAATGTAAATTTAAAAGATTTAAATTAAAATTTAACAAAACATTCTTTAAACCTAAAAAGGAAACTGGATAACCAATATGCGATTAATACATCAACACTGTAATGTGTACGTGATATTGATAAGCAGATCATACCACCAATACATATTAATATTAAGCACCATCTGAATAATGATAAAAAAAAAAATTTTTTTGGTAATATTTCTAGGAACTTTTTTTTTTAAAAAAAAAAAGAAAAAATTGGATTTAAAAGTTTGTAAAGAATTAAATTTTTCCTTTTTTACCACAAATATAAGCTTAAGCTTAAATTTCAATATCTTTGAAATTTATCTTTTTTTTTTGCTAAATTTTAAATTATTAAATAAAAATAAACCTAAGCGGCCAAATAGAATGTGGTGAATAATGATTGAAATAGAATGTTGTTGTTGAAACAAATATGGTATGTCCGGAGAAGAGAAGGTCACCACAGATTACTTGATCATTTTGATTAAATTGTAAACCAAGCTAAAATATTTCATTTCAATTTTTTGAATTTGATAAAATTATTACTTTTTTAAATTCAACTTTTTCTCTTTCAAAATTTGTGGGAAAATTTATTTGGAATAATTCACATTTCTTCTTTTAAGCTATTTCTTTTCCTAAATTTTTATAAATAATTTGAAATTTTAAATCAAAATAAAAAATTTGAAATTCTAAATTTGTAAAATGTTTTAATTGCTTTTTTTTTTTCCTAAATGATGAAAAGGAACGATTTCAATGATTCAATTTGTTTATTGTATATTAAATATCTTTATAAATAAAGATGTTTTTGAAGCATTCGAAATATTTCACCAGGAAAATGTTTACAGGCGGATTTTTCAATATCCTAGTTAATGATTGATTCTCATCATGGGTCAAAAAAAAAAAGAAACACTCAGCATATTAATTAATTAATCAACTAATTAATACTTTTTTAATTAATTAGTATTACGTAATGGAATAATTCAAATCAAATAATGATCAAGAAAGAGACAAGGGGAAAGAGGCAGAAGAAAAGAGAGAGAGAAAGAGCAATCTTAAAATCTGAAAAAGAATTTTGATATTTTATTTTTAGAGAAATTTGAAACAAATGTTGGATGAAAAGAGATTGATCTTATCTCTATAATTATTTTAATATCAAAATCAAATTAACCAATGCTAATACCAAATAAACTTTAGGAGTTCAGAATTAATTTAATTTTGAAAAAAATTTTTTCTTTTTTTTTTTTAAAAAATGGAAACCTTAAAAGAATGTTGTGCAAATCGTTTCAGAACAGTTAGTATAGTTGCCTGATGATTTGGTTTTATACATTTCCTGCAAAATTTAAAAATTTTCAAATTGTAATAAAAATTTATAATATAAAAAATTTTAAATGAAGAAAAAAAAAATTTAGCGATGACGAAGAATGTCACCAAATATCATAAAGCGACAATATAGCAGTTAATTTTGTAATCCAATAAAGAAATTAAATTGCTCATTTAATAAATAATAGCAAATACTCATTAGTAATTATTGGAAATTTATGGATGACAAAATTAACAGTTAATTTTATGGAGCAACAAATGAAACAGTTTTTGAGCTTTAGTCAAATTTTTTGAAATTATAACAACAATGAGAAACTTTTTAAATTACATTTGACAAATTTACCGATGATTATTCTCATAACTTGCCGGAATATGAGTAACAGCTAAGCAAATAGCTCGAAATGTATACAATACAGTTATAGTAAATATCAATCGACGTATAACGATAAATCGATATCGATGAAATACAGTAATAAATCCTAAAGCAACAACACCTGCAATACCGGTAAGCATATCACCAACAGCTAATGCCCAATTCTGTTCCGGCACTATTGCAAATACCAAATCCGGTAATGCATCTCTGGAAAAGATTCATTTTAATTGCAACAATTTTAACACTCAAATTTGCCAACGGATTACTCTGTACTAACGGATTAAATGGGTTACTGTAAACGATTACTGTACTAATGGATTACTATACTAGCGGATTGAATGGGTTACCGTAAAATTGAGTGGATTACTGTAAAAAATTAAATGAATTACTGTGAGGTAATGGATTACTGTAAACGTTCACTATTAAGTTCTAACTTATGTTTGTGAAATTTAAAAAATTTGCTTAAATTAATCAAATCGATTAAATCCAAACCTACTGGTAACATCATGCACTAAACAGATCACAAGTTGATTTAAAAATAATGATATAAGTAATGCTAGAAAACAAATGAATGTTTTCAAATATTCTGGACGATATGTTACCGGTAATTCTCTTATCCATTTTTCTTCTTCAACATTTTCTAAAATTTAATTTTTTTTTTTGCCCTTTTCAATTTCTTTAATTATAATCATCAATCATTAGTGATAAATTATCACAAAAATATTTCAAATAGAAATTACGAAATGTTAATTTTATTTTTGAATAAAGATCGAAATTCATTTCAAACATTTAGTGTACTATTAAATGGAAATTACATAACTTAAATAATTCATTATCTTCTAAGATTAAACTTTAAATTACTAAAGGATTAAATTTTAATCCAAAAAAAGAAACCGAATTACTTTCTGGATTAGCGGTATTATCAATAAAATGAGATATATCCTTGATAAAACTTCCATCTTCTTTCTCCTTTAATCTTTCCTGCATTTTTTTTTCTGCTTCTTTATTTCTGCACTCAATTACTTAACAATTTCCAATACTAAAATTCATTATTTTGAAAAGAATAAATATAAATTTTCAAGTGATTATTTTTTAGCTTTATGGAAGAAATTTTATTGAAGCGTAAAATGCAGTAAAGTAATAATTAATTAATCTATTTTATGTTACGAAGAAATTTAAGTTAATTAATATAATTTTGTATTGGAAATATGAAATACAAGGAATTCAAGTTAATTGATATAATTTTTATAAATGTTTATTTATTAAAAAAAATTTTCATAAATTTCATTTTTCAAACTCGATTTTTTCTTTTTGTTAATTTCAATAAATTTTGCATTGCTGGACAAATAGTATTCTTTCAATTTCCTTTTAATTAAAAAATAAGAATAAAAAATATAAAAGCGAAAAAACGAGCAATTTGTTGAGAAACCAACTTTTTTAATCAAAGATAATGACAATAATTAGTGGGAAATCATTGCGAAGTTTATAATTGCAAAGAGAAATAATTTATTTCATAATTTGCATAAAAATTTTAATTGGAAATGACTGCTAATGAAATATTGAAATTCATAGATATGATTACAAGCATAAATTATGCAAATTTTGTCATTTTTTGCATAAAATTTCCTCTTTTCATAAAATTAATTAATGATCATTTTTGAATTTGTAATGCTCAAAGTTCAAAGTTACAATCCTTTGGAGTAATTCAACTTTTTTTTTATTCAATTTTATATTTATTTCATTAATAATTATTCATTCAATATTGCAATTAAGCAAGAAAATAAAAATGTAATAATTTCGGATACAATAATATTAGGAAGAAATTTTAGTTGCTGCAATATTTGAAGTAAAAACAATTTTTGATAATTTTTAACGATTTTAATTAATTAACTGATTATTTTCAACAATTTAACTAAGAATTATCAAAAAAAAGTCATTTGTTCGAAAACTGATAATAGCATATCGAAGAGATTTTGTATTGAAGGAATTTTCAAGGAGCGTTTAATTTTCCAATAATTAATTTTTTTGTTAAATAAAACTGTACAAACAATAAGCTTGTTAGCAAATTTATTAACAAGAATTGAAATGATGAAAGGCATATCCCATTAATGATAACATTAATTATGTACTGGATATGAAATGATAAAGAATGAAAAGGAATGGTGATAAAGAGTGATTTGAATTCGAATTTAAATTTGACATCAATTCATTCAGATATTAATGATAACACTAATCAATTTGAAAAAATGAACATATTTGTACTTTTTCCCCTAATTAATTACCAAACTTAATTAGTTATCAAATAACTAATAAAATGAGTGCATTTGTCTAGTAAAACAATTTGAAAAAGTGAAGATATTATCAGGAAAATCTAATTTCATTCAATGCCAACTCATGGTTAGCCATATCAGCTAAACCGGATTCATTCCGAAATATTTGGAAAAAAAACTCCGGAATGAAATATTACTGTTATATGTATGTATAGTTGCTTTATTGTTCCATATTTTATTACACCAAAATAATATATGTTTGGACATAGTATGCTGTACAATAAGCAACATTGTATGATGTGTTGTATTCATAGTACGGTATAATACACTGTAGTTTAGTAAATTATTACTGTATTACAATATAACAGTACGGTATGGGTTGCTGTATAATTTAATTTAAATCCCTTATATGGTGTGTTGTATTCATGATACGGTATACTGTACTGTGGTATAGTAAATTTTTGCTGTATTACAGTATAACAGTATAGTATGGATCGCAGTACAATTTAATTTAAATTTCAAAATTGAAATATATATCAATTTATTCAGCTATTTGCGCTTTTTTTTCGCTTTTTTTTAAATTTTATATTTTCAAACAATTTTTTTTTTAGAAATATTTGTCAAATATATAACTATTAAACTAAGTAACTTTAACAATTCCCTGGAAAATTTCTACTTGATTCCCGAATAAATCAATAAATCTGTTACTTTCGAAGTGATAAACAG